CATAGAGTAGGTGCTGATTAGAGAAGGTAGATTGAGAGAGAGAACAGAGAGATATGTCTCTCAAGACGTCAATTCTTCAACCCTTCTTAATATACGTTAATGTGATAACAAGTCAGGATTACATACTGATCCTTCCATAACCACGACGTCGATGTCGTTGGAAATCCGACCACACTTTCCTCATTTACATGCACCGCTCTGTTCGTGTATGTATATTCCTGTTCTAGATTTACTTTTTCGGGTGAAATATTATCCCGAACACTCCAGAATCATCTCACGAACCGGTCCTTATTGAAAAATTGATAGCAAACGTATTACTGAATCAATCTCTCCGATGTTCCGCTCTCCGCAATGCTTATAAAGCAACAAACCCCGGTTTTCCTAAAATCGACTTTCCGTGTTTTTACTGATAATACGTATTCACCAAACCAACCGCTCCGCCGTCTGATTCCACGGGATGTTTTATCGACCCCTATACGTATCTGCCCAGCCATCGGGGCTGGCAAGGAATTTAAACGATGCCGAATGCGGAGAACCTATTTGGCTATTGAATTTCAGCCAATTTGTTATTTAAATTCGGGCGTTAATAAAGCATCGCGTGAAGTGTCAATTTGCAAATTCATGGAAATTTCATGGGCTCTAATGAGGGAGTCTCGATACAATTACCTCATGGCAAAATTGATATTCTTGTTTTTTTCTTTTTTGTATACTTACTATACTGTTCACTGATGTAGCAATAATTACCATTACAATATTCTCGTGTTTCTGGCGCAATATTAAATAATCTCTAAAATTATGCCAGCGTTTCCCAAACTTTTGGACTCTGGAGATATTTTATCCTTCATAGTTTATTATGAAACCAAATGCATATAACTTATATCAAATAGGAATGTAGAACGAGTGCAGCTTAGCTACTTGGCATTCAATGTCCAATAATATAAGTCGGACAAATCTCGCTGTTACTACTTGGAGGAGTAAATGTCCAGAAAAAGCTCGCGATGCTCGTCCACCTTCTACTGGTCTGTACGTCACATATATTTCTAGGCGAGATTTGGATGTGTAGAAAGACATACCTGCCCGTGGAAAGGACACAAAGCGGTTGATTTGTCTCATTCTCCTCATTAAGTTGTCCAGTTGTCCTCATTAAGTTGTCCATTCGTCTCATTATCCTCATTAAGTTGTCCAGTTGTCTAGTGTCAACCCCAAGTGACTGAGTTCTCTGGAAAACTTCACACATTCATCTAACCTTTACCTAACTTTTCACCTATTGTGAGTATCTACTTCTTTCCCATCAGGGCTTCTTCTGTTGGTGAAGGGAACTACGACTGTATTTTTTGGACTAACTGGCAGCGTTTCCCATGCACCATTCATTTACTAAATTCAGAGCCCTTTGCATAAGTTTTTTTTTATTACGAAATTGTTAATTAATATTTCGAACTTCTAAATAAACTAACTCCTGTGGGAATGTTTACAAATGTGTTGGGCGCCAAGACACAAAGGCGTTAATGGGAAAGAGAAAGAGGACGAACTTGCTAGAAAGGGATCTGAAATAGGGTTCATTGGCGCTTCTGCGGTACATCTCCCAGCGGAGCTCTGGGCAAATGAACTGAAGCAGAACACAGTAAATGCTGGACTTCAAGGATAGGGCTAAACCATTCCAAGGAGCTTATGGAGTATCCTTTGAAGAAAAGAACAAATGAGTTGCTGAGCTTGGCGGCTCAGGAGAGTGACGGAACACTGTCAGTTTAGGGAACATCTACATAAGCTAAAGCTTGTAGACAGTCTAGTCTGCCGAGGACGTGACTCAGCGGATGGAACCTCTCTGCATATCCTGAGCGAGTGTAATAATGAATGACGCTCCTGGGAAGACTCTATCTGGAACACAAGGAGCTGAAAGAAGTGTCGCTAAGGAAGATTTTGGTTGTAAAAAGGACAAAACTGCTAGATGAATATCACTGAGTAGTGGGATGCACAATAGGCCTGATAAGGACGCAGTACCATGGGACATATCAAAACCAACCACTAGGAAAAGGAGAAAAAAGAACTCCTGTCCACGTGAATCAGAACTTACCCAAAAAAAACTTTGAATGTACAGGGGATTCTTACAAATACAATTTTCTAAAAAAAATCAAGATATAAGAATACACTTCTCTACGACACTGGAAATTGGTCTACTGTAAAACCTGACCTTACACAATGCCAAGTGTAATAAAATACGAATAAAAACTTGAAAGAATTAATTATTAATGAAATTAATTTGTGGTTTTACTTAATAAAATAATTTGTCATATGTTCTATATATCTTGACATATATCTGATGTTCAAAATTTTGTCAACCGACGTGTAAACACATTTGGACATATCTTCCACAGTTTCTGCGTAATAACACTATTGTTGCCTTGCTTCACCATAACACAAATATTGTATTGCTTCACCATAAATTAAAACGATGTCCATCAACTCCGAGTTGCTATACACGTAAGCCATTTTTGACACTAACTACTAAAAAACTATTGTAAACACTATCGCAACGAGGATTGTAAAATCGGATTTCAGTATTCGGAGTCGCTCAGGCCACGTAGCTCTCCACGCGTGGTACGAATGACGCTAGAAACTAGTTGTCCATATATGTACTGGTTGAAAGTACTACAACTTTAATAATTTTCTTCTCGGAAACTATAAGGATTTTACAAAAATTTTTTTTACGATATTGACTTCATTTTTTATGCCGCATCCATTCCCAAATTTTTTTGGAAGTTGTGAATATTTCTGCATTATCCATCCTGGAATTGAAAATAAACTATTTTTGGAATTATAAAATAACGCTCATCAAAGTCAACTCATCGCAACGAAATTTTATTTTTTTCGTATTCTTTAAGCTGACGGATGGAACAGAAGCAATTGTAATTACATTGCAGCTACAAAAACTTAAAAATTCATCCTTAATATCACTTGAAGTAGAAACAACCGTAAAATTACTCCCATATTAAATTCTGCTTTATTAAATATGAAAAAAATAAAGGGTGAGCCCTTACCTTAACATGCCGGTAGCCGGGAGGACGCGGAAATAAAACAGAACTACATAATTGAATTTTAAATTGAAAACGCTCTTCAAATATAATTTTTAATTAATATTTTTTCTCGGAAAGTGAGCAATTTTAGTCGGGAAACGAGGTACGTGTTTTATGGTTAATTCCAAAAGAATAGCGATGAAAAGTAACAACGTGCTAACGCAGGGGTAGCCTTGAGGCGAGTTAAAATCTCTCACACGAAAGGCAAGCACTACAAAAATTGTTAACGGTAATTAACTATGAGTTGACTAGAAACGAAAGTCAGCGTCTAAAGCAAATCCTCCATCACTCCTTATTTTTAACAAAAACATTTCCTATAATACTATTATAACCATAACCTCATAACCAAATAAATTAATTATGTACAGCATGTCCACATTTCTAGGTGTACATGGTGTCCTAGAACCGTTGGTTGATCGCTATAACAGGAAAACTAGAAGAGCAAAGAGGAAACCGTAAAGCGGGGATCCATATGAAGTGATGTTTAAAGTTCGGGACTCGGTCGGATGATCATAACCGTCGCGTCGGCCTTTCGCTACAGCGCACCATTCGAAACCGGTAATAACGGCAGTTATTGGTTTCGCATTTGCTTCGTGTATACGTGTTTTAATATTATAATAATGTCAAATGCGCCAAGGGGTAAAAAACGACATTTCGCTGATAAAATACACAAATTTATTTATATTTATTTATACCTAAGTACATGTTTATTTATTTGTTTACGACGAACACGCCTATGACTAGCCGACGAAAACCCCGAACTCTAATGATGATACAAGTATTTGACTCGAGATTCCATCTTGGTAAGTTTATCCTAAGGAATATGACGTCATTTTGGCACATATCCGTGAAGTCATATGGAAACTCTTATTAAAAAAGTTTTTCGATATCTCTTCCCGTTCATAAGATACAGAATGATATATATGTACTGGTTCGATCAAGTCTGTTACTGGTCAACGTTGATCTGAAAAACAAAAGAGTTTCAACGTTTATAATATACAGTGTGGAACAGCCCAATGGAATAAATTTAGTAACTCAGTTATTGTGCATATTTATTAAAAAGTCCCGAGATGCATCGTTTGTGGTTTCTGAATGACATCTTGCAACGTAAAAATTTCATCCCTAAATTTAACCCCTTTCGAGTGGCAGTTGCAACCCCTAAATTTTTAAATGGAAAGTAGGGGCTAATGATACCTCATTTAAAAGGTCTTTTCATTTCTTATTCAAAAATGCTATGGTTTTAATATTTATTGAAAAAATTAACGACTTGCTTGACGAAATTTATTACAACAAACAGAAACATAAAAACTAACAGTGTTTTGTTCTTGCAGGCTGTCAAAAACAATTTCAGTATACTTTTTCAACATTCTCAACTAGAAAAAAGATGTAAAAACATCAATTTTCTCCATAGCTCGCATTGCCAATTTATTTGAAAACACTGTAGGTACTTGCTATTTTATTTAATTGGCAGCAATAAATAGTTGTCAGTGTTTTCGGAGATAGAATCACATTTCAAAAACCTGAATACGTATTAATTCCATTCTAAAAAAAAGGACACGCAGTCAGCAACTTACGGATATGTCGATATGATAGACGATAATATTAGATTTTTTACTGGAGTGGGCCGTACACATCCCTGCACCCCCTTAGCTACGCCCATGGGTCTTACATTTTTTATAAGAGTACGGTTACCACGAATGGAATTACCAAAATGGAATTTACTCTTTCCGTTTTTCTTCAATTACGGCCAACCGTCAAAAGTAAAGTAAATTTTCCTTGGAAAATTTTTCAAGCTGTTCATTTTCTTCAACATTAATTCAATAAAAAAGGCTCACAAAAGGTCAAATAAGAAATGAATTGAAATATATTAAAACATACAAGGACATAGTGTTGTGTTTTGATTAAAACTGATCAAGATATTTGTTTCAGGTTGTAGCTCTGCCCGAAAAAGATCCTTACATAACGGGTCTGAAGGCAAGATATAGGATGGGAGATATCCTAAAAGCCAACTGCGTATCAGAGAAGTCTATTCCTGCTGCGAACCTGAGCTGGTACGTGAACGGCCAACACGTGGGAAGGCCACACGTGCATAAGTTTACCAACGTTACGCACAATTTCGAGGATGGAGAATATGTCACGTGAGTATGCGTTCCACAAGTGTCTGCTGAAAACGAATTGTAACTTCTAGATTTGAAATGTATCGATTTTTCTGCATACGCTCACCTTAAATGTATTGTAGCGAAAATGATTACTCAAGTGTGGGTATTTCCATTAAAAAAATCACCTTCCGGTCTAAAAACACCAAATTGAACAAAAAATATGTTTATAGAAACTGAAAACGAAAAGTTACTGTTGGAAAATTATTTTCCGTCCAGTAAAATCGGCTTCGCCCCCACGTGCGCCTACATTTTTCCTCGCGTCCAACTCACACAAAGTTTCTTTATATTCCTACGTAATATTTAAATCAAAGTCATTCCGATCTCACTCCACCATTGTTGGTATATAATTAAAACAAAAATAAACTTTAGTATAATTAATTTCAAAACATGTGTGGCACCATTTTAGTACCGAGGTTGTTAGAACGACCACTAGAATGTCTGTGTTAAAGAAACGTATACGATATTCTTAACACGATTTAAAATTATTGTTTGCAAGTTGTCAGTTAGTTATAACTTGTAATTAAAGTTACTTTTTCAAGTTATATAGATGTAATATGCAACATAAAGTAATTTTGCAAGTTGCAGTGACAGAATGAAGTTATTTGTTCAAGTATAGTGGTTATCTGTAATTTTTGCAAGTTGACAACAACTTGCGACGGTTTTAAGATATTTTTTTGCAAGTTACCGATAACTTGTGATTTCTAAATTGTGGATGAACTTACTAGGAGTTAGATATATGTAATTTGCAAATTGAAACACAAAGTGACTGACAAATAAATTACTTTTACCTGGAATTATTTTTCAACTTCCCAGTAACTTGTGATTTGAAGTTATTTAATTTATGATTTGATGATATGATGATATTTTTGCAAGTTATCAAAAATTTCTGAGTTGTGAAGTTACTTATCAACTAACATATTTTACTTGGAGTAATTTTCAAAAAATAATACTTATACTTGATTTTTACTAAACTATACTGATTTAGTTACTAAAATGTATACAACTTAATTATTTAAACTATCATTTGAAGTTATTGTAGCAGTGACTTCGGATGTGTAAATTGTGAATGAAGTTACTTGAAGTTATGTAAAAGATGTTGAGATACAACGAAAATTCCGATTTCTGATCATTTCTGCAGACAATTGCACCACACATGTAAACTTCAAAGTAGTCGGAATCTATCAATTAATTAAGCAAATTACAATTTAGTTTACGAATTTAATTATTTGCGCAAACGAGCTCTAAACGAAAATCCAGCTCTCTAGATCCGTTCGTTTTAAATTAATAATGACTGTGTTTATTGAACGGATAATCAGTCTAGTGTTTCATTATATGGTTAGTGTACTGAAATAATTAATGAATGCTATCGAACGCCTTTATGCAAATCCGCGCCAATCATACAAGGTGTAGTAGTCATGTTTTTATTATTATTTTTACAAATGGAGTGGGAAATTCGAATTATCACGNTAGATCCGTTCGTTTTAAATTAATAATGACTGTGTTTATTGAACGGATAATCAGTCTAGTGTTTCATTATATGGTTAGTGTACTGAAATAATTAATGAATGCTATCGAACGCCTTTGTGCAACTCCACGCCAATCATACAAGGTGTAGTAGTTATGTTTTTTTATTATTTTTACAAATGGAGCGGGATATTCGAATTATCACGTAGTGGTTCTAAAATTTTTAGCAAAATCATGAACCAGACATTTTAATAACTTGAAGTTATGTGTTATTTATGTTCTGCAAGATAAAAAGTCGTGACTTATGAAATTCAAATAACTTGTAATAAATAATACTTTTCATCGTATTCAAGCAACAATAAATTTCGAACAAATTACATTTCCGTTACTAAAAAGATGTCGGGCCTATGTTCGTGGAAATGGAGGTATTTTTGAGCATTTACTCAAATAAAATCATTAAAATGATGACTAATGTTATTAATTTCTTTATTCCAATAAATAACCGAATGATTAGTGCTTGTCATGTCATTTAAGTAAAAGTGTTTTCAGTTGGTTTTTTAAGTTTTACTCGAAAGTCAGGCTTTTTTGAAAAACATAAAATAGTAGTAATTTGTAGAAAATTGAAAGACGAATCCGAAAATATCATGATTGTTACCGTAAAGTAACGGCGTACTATTTTATTTAGAAAAATATGCCACCGATTATTTCACTTACTAGTTTTTAAATTATTTAAAAAAATTAAAATATTTTTTTGAAGTTTAACACCCTGTATCTTTTTAACGAAGCATCCTAGATAAAAACTTTATGGGAAAGACTCAATTTAAAATTCACCAAAGAATAGGAGGTTTCATTTTTGGTCGCCATTTGTGAATCACCCTGTATGTTAAAAAAACGGGTCTATTTTTTTTGAGAGACACAAGGAACTAATGTAATAATATACACCTACGGGGGTTTGGAAGATGAGAACTGTAGCTCTAGATTTTTTCGAAAGGCATTTTTTTTGTTGCTAAATTACTTTGATGACATTCAGTCGAGAAACCCAGAACGGCAAACCTCCCTCTCTCCCTCCCTGTTCATGGTAAAACCCTGAATATTAAACTGGAATTAATAATTACATGTACAAGTTATTTTTTATAACTGAAGTGTTCATTCTGAATATAATTATCAGTTTTAGAAAAAATAAATTTGGAGAATAATTACGGTGTGTTTTTTTGAAAGGGAGTTTTAATTTTAACAGCTGCCTACTTATATCATTAATGTATTGTTGAAGTCAAGTAATGACAAACAAATTGATTGTCTTATTCGAACATTGCTCCCCTACGTTCTACAGGGTGTTAAAGTCAAAAAAATATTTTCGAGTTTTTATATTCCTGAACATAGAGGGTGTTCCATTTAAAAAAAATCTTTAATTTAGTGATTTCCAGTATTCAATTGTTTTTTCTAATACTGTATTTGTAAATTCATAAAAAAGCTAAAACTTTTGTAAAAACTTTTTTGTAATTTCAATAATAAACACAATAAGTTGTTAGATTATAGTGACTAACTTTGTTCATATCTCTATTATAATCAAAATTATGCTATAGTGATTTGAATCTGAATTTGAATTACGAAAAACGTTATTATGGCACATAAAATTAAATGTCCATTTTCGAAACCGCCCTGTACATCTGCACTAATCTTCTCTGCGAAATTTCTGAACGGATACAATTTCTTACCGAGCTATACAGACACCTTATTATAACATATTAATCAGCGAAATCCAGCCCGTGCAGCTAAACTATGAGAATTAGTAGAAGTTTGCGACTAACAACATCGCCAAGGGGAAACCATAATACGACGCCACTGGTTTTTCATTAGCGGCCTGCAACAAGGGCCATTGTGTGCAATATTATACCGCTTACAAGAGACCACAATTTATATGTACATTCTCCTGATTTAAGAGGATGAATCTATTATGACTTCGGCTACATACACATCGTATACATGCTCCATGTTTGTAATAAGCTTAATGGATACACAACGGTCAAAACGATACAGTTTAAGCTGGCACATTAAGAAGAATAAATTTAATTAACAAATACAAATAGTAGGTTATTTATCTAAGCAATTATCTTCTTTTTTAATCAGCATCTATGATGTTGAAGCAGCATTTAAGTTTTATTTTACTTTAGGCATCACATCAGTATGATTTTCACAGATATTATATCTGATAAGTGTTTTTCTATAAAAATTCACTATTACACAGGAAACTTTTACACATTTTTGGCTTTTTATTCAGGTACTTATATATTTTTTTAATTTCTATAGACTATACAACAATATCCTGCATTAAAATAATTGCAAAAACAAACTATGTATTAGTAGAGGAACATAGGCGGTTCTGGAACCACCTCCTACCACTTGACCTTGATTTCAAGGTTAAATCCGAGATCATCCGCTGGTAAAATTATCAAGGCCGTCTGAAAGACAGTCGATTCTGGGCCACTCCCCACCGCTTGACTTTGGTTACAAGGTCAAATGTTACGTTATTGTTGTAACGTGTTTCGATATGGCATTGGGCAGAATCCAAGGTCACCCTCTGGTGGCTTATTGTTCAAGGTCGCATAGCATGTGTGACGTAAATATAAGGAATCTAAATGTGAACGTAAACTTAAAATATTGTGTGAAAATAAATATTTTGGAGATTTAGACTGCAACAGCTCTGAGAATGTGCAAATTATTAGAAAAACCAGAGAAAATCGTTGCATTTTCATCCCAATTCGTTAGCCTTGTTCCTTGGTGACGTCACTACATTCATACTGTAAAGCAATGTAGTCAGTAGAGTTTGTGGGATACCCAGGATGCTGCAAGTCGAAAATGTTTTACATATAGTTGAGGAAAATGCAACAATTAGTACAAACATATTACACAGTAAGTTGAGATGTCTCATAGTAAAGTATGAGCCACTTTACGTGAAAATGAATCATGTCTATGCACGTGCATCAAATTCTAGTCTTAATGTCTCAAGACTAAAGAACTATCTGAGTAAATGTACTCTCCAAACAAATTTCCAACAGAAATTTTCTTGAAGTGATTGGACTTGGAAAGTCAGAATGTAATCTATGCGATCTTTACCTGTGGGGTTACATGAAATGTATGGTATAAGACTGACCTGAACACAGTGGACAAACTGCGCCAAATCATAGAAAATAGCGAGCATAAAGTCATAGATACTTCGAGTGGTAGCTTATGTGAATGAAACATTCGAACATTTTCTTTAGGCAAGCATGGACTTATTTATCTAAATTAAAATGCTGGTCTTTCATTTTCATTATTTTTGAGTCACAATGGAATGTTATTTGGAAAATGTTTTTAATTTAAAAAATACTATAATCTGGTCATTGCCTTTCCAAACATGAATTCTAATAATTTAGAACAACGAATTAATGCTATTGTCAATCGAATTTCCGGATTTTAAACAAATATCTCTCGATTGCATCATGTTTTCCATCTAGTGTTTTATAAATACTACGTAA